ATTTCAACCAAGTCATAGACGTTTATTTCTACTGCACCTTGGCAATTACAAGACAAAGAGATAAAATAATAAAAGTTAAATTGTATTTTTATTTTTTTTTTTTTGAATATTGCTTTCCCCCCCAAAAAAAATCTAAATGAACTATACTCACTTTTCACTACTGGTCTCTAAAAACAATGACAAAAACAGAATAACTTTTTTTTTGGTCACAAGCAGTAATGTAGAACATGGAGCCACTGGGATTAAAAACCATGATGCACTGCAGTCATTTTAATCACACATCTGCACATCTTTAGTCTGAGTTCCATATTTTACACATCAGAGCCATGATTATGATCAAAAACCTTATGGAGATCCAACAAGTCCAGCAGCCAGTTTGGACCAGAAGCAAAAGACAGAAAGCTGAAACTGATTCAAACATGACGCGTCTGGATTTTCCTCTGCGACATTTGTGTGATCATTTTTGATGTTTAAGTTGGTAACTAGCTTGTGTTGGGTCACTTCTGTTCGAAGTTAAGGGAACTCTTAAACATTTATTTAATGCAACAGTCATTATTGAACCTTTTGGCAGAGAGAGAGTGCACCACTCTAAGGTGTTTTTTTTCCAGCTCTGACAAAGAATTACAGATTTTTGAAGCTGTATATGACAGTGAGAACATATTTTCTTATGGAAAACTGACAGCACCTCATGAATGTTACTAAAATAAAAACAGAAAAATCTTAAATCTGTACATTATGGATAGATATAAAATACCAAAAAACTCTAATTACAGCAGCGCTCGTGTGCTTTTGTGAACCTGAGATTTTTTTTCCCCATACAGCGTGAACCGCTGCAGCAGCCAGCGGGAGCACTAAAATGAAATGAAATGAATTCTTGAGTATTAATTATGTGCTATAAAACTGAACTCGGGTGCTCCTTGATTATGTACGCTTCAAGTTGAACAGAAGCCCACTGGGCACAGCATGTGATCCCTCCGCACACATTAGTTAACGCGACAAAGACAGTTCCAGGAAAACCAGGGGGAGAGAGACAAGAGGAGAAGATGATATTAAGGGTTGAGTCAGAGACTTYAAAGGAGTTGGTCAAGAGGAGAAAAATTTCCCTCTTAAACCATTTAAATATATTTATCTTGATTTAGAATGAAAAAGTATAATTGAAGGAAATAAACTTTATTTGGAATTAATTACCAAGCTCCACTGGTTTGATTATGACTCCCTACATTGAGCATGCAGTTGGGTGTGTGTGTGTGTGTGTGTGTGTGTGTGTGTGTGTGTGTGTGTGTGTGTTGTGTTGTCACATCACACTCTCACTAAGGAAAAACAACTGCCTTTAATTATCAACATCCGTGCTGCACTTGTGTATCTGACACTATCTACTCAAGGAGAGAAGTGGGAGGAATAAATTTAACTCAAGTTACTCATAAGGCTGACTACTTGTTACATTTAAATTGCTGATTCCAAGTCAYTCCTGATCAGCAACATATTATTCATCTATTCTGTTGTTAAACGTCTGTCAGAGGAGTAAGACAGTAAAGATATACAGCCATTTCAGCAAGTTAAAAGTATAAAAATTGATGCTGACTTTTAAAAATAATACATATTTATCTCCATACCAGACAGCTTCCTTTCTCAAATTAAAATAGTGTTTTTATTTGGTAGATTATTCACATATCTGCAACTCAAATATTAAATTAGCTAAAGATGATAGAATCGCCTTCATCTTCTCATTTTTTCTTACAGATTACATTCAACATCATGTTTATGTCAAGAGTGATAAAAATAACAAGCAAGCTCAGAAGTAAGAAAACCAAATCAATAACGAGTACTGTGGGAGTTTATTATTGAGACCGCAGACAAAAGAATTCTGCATGCCTTACAATTAAAACTGTTAAAGGGGGGTATTAAGCAAAAACAAGTTTTTGAGCTTTCTATCATGCATGAGATAGTTATGTCTTATTAAAACATTAAGCAAACAACAACATTATAACTTAGTATGAGTGTCGGTGCTAAATAATGCTYGAGTGGGCAGGGATTTGAGTGTCACTAATCTTGTGCAGGGCAACATACAGGCATAAGAAAGAGGCATGCCCTCTCACAAGCATATTTCCACTTGCACATGCTGTTCCACAGGCTTGTATCTTTGCTTGAGTCGTCTGGGGAATTTGAGGCCAATTAAACAAGATGGATTTCTAGCCCTAAYAGACATCGCAGAGAAAACTGAATGCTTCTGGTTTTTCCCCCACCACAAAAAAAAATAAAATAAAAAGTGATCACATTCAATTTCCTGAACCTCTTTTTATTATTAGAATGTGAGGTTTATGTGCATGAACATACAGAAATAACCAGGAGGATAACAGACAGATGTTAATATTGTGTGTGTGTTTAAGCTGTTTGTGGGTGGATGATGTGATGTTTAATAATGCATCAGGTGCTCTACAACACATTCACGTGTGTGTGTGTGTGTGTGTGTGCCTGCGTGCGATCACCTGTGGGCGGATGACTCTTTCGATGTGCTTCAGGGCCGTGTCAGGGGAGGGGGGTGAGCAGTCTGGTGTGGGGCCTGTTGAGCAGTTGTCCTGGTTACCATGCTCCTCCTCACTCACCGTTCCATGGGACAAGTGACCTTGGAATGAAAGAAAATAAAAATGTCAAAAGACAAAACAAAGCTGCTTTATTTTATTTATTTTTTTGACTGAAACAATTATTCTGCAAAACAAGTAGAGTTTCAGATATTTGTGCAGATTTGGATGCTGCTGCTGAAGCAGCTGGAAGTCRTGGTAATATTTTGGATATGCTTCAAATACTGTAAAACAAAAGCATTGTGATTACAACTATGACGTTTCTTTTACTGCAGTACACTAAAAATAGTTAAAACTTATTATTGACTCAATTGAAGCTAATGAAAAATCTTCAAGTGTATTAAAATTGATATAAAGGAATTAAATCTAAGAAATTCATGTTGAATTTTAGGTATTTAATAATATAAATTGTCAGTTTATGATTTTCTTTTCACGTGTGGCTTTGAGTGAATGATTTATTAAAATTTTACCCCTTTAAAACACCATCTTTAAAGAAACACTATTAGAAAAATACATATTTTAACACTTACTTAAAAAATTAATGAAAAGAAAAAACTGTATCTGCAGTGAATATGTATTTCAGTAGAAACTGTGCGGTCTGCAGCAGTCATGTTGGCATGGAAATGCTCTGTTGTGCCATTTGGGTCAGAGTGAGAAATGAAAGAGTTCAGCTCAGCACCTCGTGTTGCATATTTCCACCCACCACTGCACCGGCAATCACACATGTGTTAGCATAAGGCTGCTGTGAAGACAGTGGATTCTGCAATTTAACAAGCCTTAGCAACAACTCCGGCAGGGGAATGCAACTGCTGTCCTGTGCAGGATGATGTCTCTCTCATTTGTGGCTCACACACACACACACACACACACACAGTCAGCTGCCACCTGCCGTCATGGATTCTATCATCCAATTCTGGTGCGAGACCCAGCCATGATTAACACACAAAGTGACATCCCCATCCTAAAAGCTGCGGTAAGGTTTGCTGCTAGAATTTACTGCACATAATCACTTATTTATCTCATTAAAAAAAGGGAAAATAGAAGCAACATTTTCCTCAGTTCGACTTGGATGATATTGATGGTAAGATTTTTTTTAACAACTCCCACCAGTCTTCATCTATTCACAGAGAACAAACACGTCTATTTGAGGGACGGGTTGTGATTCCAAATTGTCAAACGCTAATTTAATAAGAGGGTCATCGTCACAATCTCCCACCCATTAAACACCAACATAAGAACAGGAAGAAATTGTTCTTTGTATTTGACAAATGTGTGAATTATAGGAACAAAATATTAAGYGGCTTGCATGTTTCATGATAAAAATATGCAGGTATTTTGATTATAGGGTATATTTTTATGATAATTTAGTTTTAAGTCTGTATGGTTCAGCTTGGTGCTCTTAAATCACAAKGTTTTTCATTTTAAATACTTTTAATGGTTTTTTAACACAAATGTAAGTTTTGTCTCATTCTAGCAACTTCATCCACATTTATTTTCTTTACACGGGTGTGACAAAGCAGAACATTTTGACGTTAGCCACCATTATTATTWTTTTTTCTCTCCTGCAAACAGTGTTGCTGCAGACACACATCTGTCCTGCAGGGACAGCTTCACACCATGTTCTCACATTACATGTCTTCATTTGCATGCAAACACAGGYAGTGAGTTTACCCAAAAAGCTACAAGTATAGAGCTGCACACATGCATGCAAAACTCACCGAGCAGCTGCCTGGAGCTGAATCAGTGATAAATGTGGATGCAAACAGATCAAATAAAAAACTGGAGACATGTGAGACACAGAGGAATAAGTATAGATGGTGACGTTTTATATTGGTAAAGACATAAACCTGTCAGCACGGAGGCTTTGATGATAGATGTAGTCTGAGTACGAGCATCTGCACTTCTTTCTGATCTGCCATGCTTACCCCTGGGAAATACCTGCAATCCTCCTCACCAAAGGAAATGTGCATTCACATAGATAGGTACAGTTTACATCTATAAATTTCTATGTGGCCGTAAAATAAAATAAAATAAAAAACTCAATGTATTTGTTTTCTGTCACTTCTGTAAGATCAGGTCAAAGAAAAGGACAATTAGAGTCAAAAGAGAAAAGCAGAAACCCTCCAGAGCTGTTTTTATTACAGCCTTATCTTTTAGTTTGTTCAGAGTAAACACTGAAATGTTCACAAACCAGCCAAAAGATTGAATCCCTCCAGAGTCCTGAATTTGATCTAAGACTTCTACTTGTCAAAAACACCTCCCTGGAAAGGCATACTTACTGAAATACTGACATAAACCAGTACTTCTCTTGTCTGGATAATTTATCTTCATCTAAAGTCACAAGAGATGGAGGGGAATACTATAGATGCAGGAACTTCTGCAGGTTTATAATGTWTTCACATCAGTCTCCATCATCTCATAGATGAACATACACAATTTAATAGCAGTAAGAAGAATACGAGGTAACAGACTTCTCCCAACTTTAGGGTAACATCCACAACTCCAACTGCTAAAACAAACTAAACATCTAAAACAATCCAAAACGCTTCTAAATAACTAAGAATTTAAAAAGTGTAGAAGTGTGAGCATGTGGCCATATGTACCCCAAAAGTGATTTCCTCTGGCTGTCACTGACAACAACACTTTATTGCTTTCCTTCTATAAAATCAATGAGCCTCAACTCTTATAATGTCAAACCCCGGAGCCACTACAGGCTGCCATTAGCTACTCTTAGCCTGCAGGAACAACCAAAGTGGGGTAAATGGGGCGTGATGCAGCAGCAGCCCTGCTTTACCCACCAGAGGGAAGTGATGGTGAAAGTTAATGGGAGTAGGAGAGTAATAAATAAAGTTTTTTTTATTGTTTGGAAATATTTTTGGTATTTGCAGTCTGGACTCAAACTAAATGTAAAAAAAATTCCTAAAACTTTTCTCACATTTAAAGTAATTAATTGCCTTTTATTAGCGTTTCTAGGTTTCAAAAGGYAATTCAGGGCTGGGCTGTTCCCTCTGCGTCCCCCTGCACTCAAAATAAGACAAATTATTCACTGATATAAAGAAAAAATCTGAGTTCTCAGTGCTGTGTTTCTGTTTGTGCTATTTATCTGTACCAGCTACCCCACTTGCATACTAAACCAGCATACACACGTAGAATAACAGAGAAGAAATTGAGTCATTTACAGAAAACGCATCTGCAGGCAAGTTGTGCAGCAGAAATAGATTCCCTCATTTGAAACAAATCCGTCCCATACAGCAAGTATAATCCCAACTTAATTTACAAAATGACTCCCTTAGAATTGAATGAAATGTAGGATTATGCTTCTAAGTCTGTTCTCAGCACACATTGTGTCACAAAGACCAGTTCCATTTATTTAGTGTCAGGAATGATAATTGTCACGCTTGAGGACATGTGGCGCAGTGGGAAGAAACATTCCTGTGAACGCTGCAGCGTCTAAAGGACAAAAAGCTGACAGCATGGAAATGAAGTAAAGGCAACAAAAATAAAAGAAGAGGTGGGGCTGTATGGTATTAAAGTGACAACAGGTCACTGTTTCCGTGGCAGCTGGTCTGAGTGACAGGCAGCAGCTGAGATTTGATCAAGTTGCTCCGACTGAGGCAGAGGAGAGCTTTAGAGTTTCACTCTGCAATCCTGTCACAATGCAGCAATCCCTACCTGCAGAAAGCCCTGCACAGCACACCAGGTGCTTTTCAGATGGAGCTCACTCTGCCAAAAATAACTTTTGTAAAAAACTGTTTTCAGCTTACACATTTTCTTCATGAATATGATTCATATGTTTGTGAAAACACTGAAAAGCTTGTTTTCACTCTAACCTGCCAGTAATGATAGGTTGACTTGAAGATAATGAATATTAATTCTGCTTTCTTTATATAAAATTTACAAAGTTTTCAGACTGAATGCTACTAACATTTTTGTTGTTTTTTCAGTTTAAAGTGTCAGAGATATATGCTCTCTTCTTTCTAATCTGAACCCCTCTTCCAGCATGCTTCTTGATCCTCTCATCTTTCCTCTCCGAGGCAGATAAAGGCAGGCTGATTCCCTCCCATGTCCGATTAGTTTGACATGTGACCAGACTCGAGAGTCAGTCCTGGATTTTCCTCAACTGCTGCGTCACAGATTTCCTTTGTGCATCAGAGTCGAGTCTGCTACTTCACCAGCTGAAAACCCAGTCTCTGACTCTTCCCCTCACTTCCAGTCTGTCTCTCTTCAACAAGAGAGTGTCTGCAGTCTGCATGYGTTTATGATGAACTCCCACCAAAACCCAGACATGTAGGGAGCTCAGCCTTTTCTTTGGTCAGGTAACAGCACTCAAAGAGCTGAGAACAAACAGCACCCACACAGCTCACTTGCGTCAGTGGAGCAATTTTCCCACCAACGGACAGTTTAACTGACATAAAGCGTCCAACCTCCTGATTCAGACAAAAAAAAGAGACTACAGTTAGGGCTGCACCCTTCACTRTCCTGCAGCCAATTACATTCAAGACGCAGCTAATAAACACGGGCTGAGATGCATACAAGCCTCTACAGTAGCCTCTCTCTTATGAGGTGGAGATGTGTCACTAAACGAGACAGTTCCCATGGCAACGTACAGGTGACTCAGCCAGTGATACAGTTGCCCTGACAACCTGCAGTGTGTAGCTTTGCTATGGGAGACGATTGAAAAGAATAAAAGCACGCCGTGGGGGCTCGATGCTGTGGGTGTTGAACTTCGGCACATCAGCCTGACGGAGCCGTGATCAAACAGAATTAAAGAAAATTTAAAGCTGGAGGGTGCAGTCACAAACACACAAAGAAATGATCAGTTTTAGATTTCTAACCAGACTTTACTTTCCCTGGAAATGGATAGCAAAATATTTGTCCAATTTATCTGCAATTAAACACCTGATCATTTCAAAGTTAATGCGTATTAAACAAGAACTTCTCTAAAGCTACATAAATGAGATTTTCTTTCTCTGAGTTTCTTTTAAATTATTTGTTGATTTTTGACTGTTTAGGAGCTGAAATGTACACCACAAGTGTCCAAGTGTTTCTCCTACCATTGCGTGAACAGGCGTTGAAGCGGTGGTTGATATCAAGTGAGCAGGGTTTGCGTGTGACGGCGGTGGTTACAGATTCGTATGGGTTGTCCTCGTCTTCTGGCAGGAAAACATCCAGGGATGGCGAGGTGACGATCTCTGCTGAGCGCTTAGACTCCTGAGGTGGAACAGAGAGGAAAAACAGTTTGGCTTCTTTGTTTTTGCTCATTTTTGCCTKGAGGTGCTACCCCACACACACACGCACACACACAAAAAAAWTACATYGGCTCAGTAATCTCTGAGTTCAGTTCTCTGAGTTCAGCTCAAGGTTATCGGTCCAGTCCAAACATGTTTACAGAGGGAGATTATCATGAAATGTTTGGGTCAGTGCTTTCTCAAAATAAAGGTTGCACGTTTTTGAACTTCTGCCTTTTTTAACACCCCTGAAGTGTTTTTATAATATTAAAAAGTAAATGTTTTCACTGTTAATTGCCATTTAATTCAGTATCAAAATATCATGGTAACATTTGATTAACCAGAAAGCTTAAAACATAGGTAGAGATCCAAAAATCTTTTTTTAAATGATCAACAAATGAGAGAACTGTTTGTTATCAGTGGTGTCACGATGTACTGTAATAGCTTCAGGGCTTCAGCTCATCACATGGTTTGAGTGGATTTTTAAAAAACAAGGGTTTGAAGAAATTTAAAGTTATTAGAGGTTAGTACTGATGTTAAAAGCACAACACTATATTCTTAGGTTTTCCTTTCTGTAATGTTGACAGTGTTTTGATTGATATGGATTAGTTACATGTCCGAAATACAGTATGTGACAACACATTATCAAACGTTGTGATGACAGTAGCTGAGGATTTTGTCTGAATGCCTGTGATTCAGCCATAGGTCAGCAGGGGGCAAACGCAGGCATCGAAGGTGTATATACAGTATACATGAACTTCCTGGTTTTCCGGTAGTGTTGGTTTCCTGTCAGCTTGAGTGACAATAAACCTCACTCAGATCCAGAATTCTCGTGTTGTATGG